TATCCTGAAGAAACAAATGGCATATGAATCAATCAATGGTCACCGGCTACCATGGGACTGCATCTTCGAACGTTGCTCCACTGCCTTGTCGATCAGACCTTTAGATCGAATGCTCCGGATGTGGCCCCCCTAAAGAAACCACCTGTTTCTATCTGGACACTCAGGCTGTATCGTTGACTACACATAAATCAAGTGACTTGTGTGTCGCATATATATTCAAATAAGTAAATAAATAAATGAATCAAAATATTTAGCCGTTCTTATTTCTCACCAAAAAATGAGATATGAAATAATAACGCCTGAAACTAACAATGTAGATTAAGAATAAATATTTTATGTAAATTAGTAACTGACATTTAAGAGAAAAAGAGATTAGGTAATGAGTAGGATAAATTGAAAAAAGAAGTATATTTTCATAGAAGGAAAAATTATGATAATAAGTATATATATATATATATATATATATATATATATATATATATCGATTTCCTTCGTTATATCACAATGAGTAGAACTGATTATATTATTGATATTTCGTGATTTGATGTGAGCCATTTATTTCAAAATAAATTTACTTGTTTATTTACTCTGAAGAAGTAGCATAGATTAAGTCACGAAACGTCAGAGATACAATTGTTCTACTGATTTTATGATAAAAATATATATGTAGTTACTAATAACTTTCTATTGAATGTTCCATTTTATTTGGAAAACTATCGAATTCAATCTTGGCATTGATATCTACAAATTATGTTCTTTAAGATTTAATATTATTTTGATTGTTATAATGAAGAGATGAAATGCCATACAAAATTTGTGATGGATAGTGATTAGCGGTGGAATATAGGACGCACATTTTGTTCTGTTTAAAACTCGTCATTTGGATGTATCTGCATCTTAGAGTTGATATTCATTCTAGGACTCGAACCTAGTACCGTTCGCTTACAAACGATATTGCATTATCCACTTAGCTAGTTGCTTATGCAATAGGGTGAAGTTTAAATTCACTTGATATTGTTTACTTGAATCTCCCCATTGATATTTAGGTCTGCAATTGGGAAATTCAAGTAAACAATACCAAGTACATTCTTTTAACTATAGTTTGATGAAATATTTGGTTACAATTTCATAACAGTGTTAGATAATGCTTTAGCGCCCTATTTAACTAAAATGTTGTATAAATTTGTACTTTGTTTGTAAGTGCATGTTATATATTTTTCTTAAGTTTTTTAAGGTTACTCATCTTTCTTAAATACTCAATACAAATAGGATAGTTTTTTGTTTTTCCATCATCTTTTCCAATAATTTACTTGGATGAGTGTCCCATAAAAGTCAATGATTTTTACTAGGTATCCTATTTTCTACTGTATCAAGTTATCCACATACATCTTTTATGAACACTTCACACTAGCTCATTTTAACTTATTGGATCAAAAAGAAAATAATGGAAAAGTTAGAGATTGAATTTAAAGTCACAATAAGTACTCTGTTCTTACATGAACTATTTATTCATATAAGATGAAAGAAAAGTTCCAAACACCAAGGTCAGAATTTTCAATACAAATGTCAAGACAGTTTTACTGTATGAGGCGGAAACTTGAAGAACTACGAAAGCCATCTTCCAGAAGATACAAGTGTTTATTAACAGTTGCCTACGCAAAATTCCTCGGATCCATTGACCAGGCACTATCAGCAACAACCTACTATGAGGGAGAACAAAGCAAATCCCAGCGGATGAAGAAATCAGGAAGAAGTGCTGGAAGTGGATAAGATACACATTGAAGAAAGCACCCAGTTGCACCACTAGGCGAACCCTCACTTGGAATCCTCAATACCAAAGGAGGAGAGGAAGATCGAAGAACACATTACGCCGAGAAATGAAAACAGACATGAGAAGAATGAATAACAATTAGATGACACTAGAAAGGGAGGTCCAGGACAGATTGGGTTGGAGAATGCTGGTCGGCGGTCTATGCTCCACTGGGAGTAAAAGGCATGTTTAAGTAAGTAATATAAGATTTCAAACTAATTAGACAGTTCTTACAGAATATAATTTGTCAGTAACCTTAAAAAATGGTAGAATTGTTTCTCCCCAGTATTGAAATTTAATTTTAGGCAATGAATAAATGAACTATGAGAATCGAAAACTGAAATGTATAAGTGATTTTATCACATTCATTAACTTTTTGAAAGGTTGTTGTTCAGTTACCTTATCCTACAGTATATTACTTTCAATAATAAAGACTCGTTACAATTATTTTTTCAAGGTATGAATACTCTTTTCGTACTTTATTGTTACTCTAGTTTTCTCAGTATCTGTGTGAAAGTTCCCTGAAATGAATTAATTTCGAACGATTTCAAGGAATTAGTACAATAGAAGAGTACCTATTATTTAATTGCACTCAGTAATTATGTGAATTAATTAGAAGGTTGGTTACTATAAATCGAAAATGAATGAATGAATTATAATTTAATTTTTAAATACAGTTTATATTTGAAGAAGTTAGACATTAACACCGTTGGATACCGGTCGGCTCAGTGGTCTAGAGGTAAAGCGTTCACTAGCGAGGCCAAAGGTCCTGAGTTTGAGTCTGGAGTTCGAGATCGTGAATGCACACTGCTGAGGAGTCTCATACTAGGATTAGTTGGCGGTCCAATGCTTACAAGTTTCCCATGGTGGTCTAGCTTACATTAGCTCATGAATTCAACTATTAGAATAAAAATTCGTTTATAGTAATTAACTTGCACACTAAGTCATATTTAATTTCTGTTTGCATAGTAGACGACTTCATGATAATTCTAAGTACATTTGGCATTATATGATGATATATAATAAAAAATACAAGTCAACTACTAATGGAGTTACATTCCCAAATTTGATTATTTTGTCTTTATAGAATAGATCTACTGAATAGTTTCATAGGTACTATGAAACATGATGATTTAGAAGGTCTCTAGAGCAACAACACAAATTTCTATTTTTAATTAAAAATGAAAAGATTATTGGGTATTCACTTGATGTTGTTTAGAACTGCAATTGATCGATCTCTTGTTGGCATATATGCCTTCTGTGCGGATTGCCTCTATATTGCCTTAAGTCACAAGCATTATGATCAAAGATGGATAGTGGCTAGTAGTGGAATCCAGGACGCTCGTTTCATCCTATTTAGGATTCGTCAACTATCTTATATTAAAAAAATTCAACAATGAAATAAGAAGTTGATCAGAATTATTTCTTGTTTCTAATTCACATTTCACTTGGATGACCTTGGATAGGGAACACGTTTAAACTAGTCCGAAATTTATACCTATATATATATCCATATATTGACAGAATGGTAAAATGAAACGTTATAGGTATGAAGGGCGTATTCCCACAACAAAGGTTGTTCAAAGCAATAAGAAATACAATAAGAGCATTGGTAATGTTATAATTCAAAACAAAGTAATCATAATGATGATAAGTGTTGTATCTATTCAAATGAAACTCATTCTTTCTCACTCATTCTTAGACATTTTTAATAAATATCATTAAAATCAAGAACAATCTTCAATAAAAAGAGTTAAACCATTAACTTTCTTTATTGAGTTAAACAAAATGTAACGACGTTATATAATCAGGAACGAGCTTAAAACAACTGGGACAAATTCTCAGCCTGGTCTTAGCTAAACAGAAAAATATGTAGCTGGATGTTTTATTTATTTGAATACATAAATATTGGTACAAATGGGCACCAAATACATATGTGTCACACAATAACATTGAGAATGTGAAGAGATAGATGATGCAAAGTGAGTATAAGAAAAAGGAAAACAGTAATGAACAGAAATTAGTGTATGATAGTGAAATAATTCTAATGGAAGAGGCAGTTCATTTAGCAAAGGTACAATCAGAAAGAATTTTTCCCGTTAAAAAAGTCACATCCAAGTTTTTATGAAGAAAGTAAAGGAAAGTTGCAGCAGGATCGTCATTGGCTTCTATTCTGGACCTTATCTGATAACATCTTAAGGCACTGTGTTGCACGATCTCTAGGACCACAACCAGAGAGTCGTGAACGACCAACAGAAGCCATTCCTGTACAGCTTTCTTTGATACCACGACACCATGTCATACACTGAACACATGGATATTTTATGAGAAAATGAACAGTGGTATTACAAACTATAGACAGATTTAGGCATATTTAATATATTCTTTAAAGTTTTCTGTAGGTTACTCTATCTGTAAATTGACATAGACTAGTTGTCTTCTTTTTCAGTTCCAACATTGTTCCTAGTTTTCGTTAGGTATTTAGGGTAGGGATAAGGCGTTTAAGATTAGGGCTTTTCATCACAATCTGACACCTGATATAATACAATAATAATCTGTAATCATATAAACGAACGAATTTCATTAAGAAAAACCAAATGCGTTGTTTGATTTTTCCTTCCATAAGATCTAATCCCTCTGGATTAAGGTTTACTTCATAACTGAATATTTAGGGCAGTATTGATTTATTTGTACAATTTAAAGAGACAGTCAGGTATCTGTTACATTTAACACTTATTTTACACTCTGGTTTCGAAAAAGTGATTTTCTGTAATCATTTTTCATTAGTTTGAGTATCCTATTAAAATATTTCTACTACTCATTATTCCTGATATTTCAGTTTCGCCCAAAAAACCTACAATTCACATTCTTGATCCATAAACCAAATTTTTATCCAAAATGTTATTAGTCAAGAGATATTATTTTCACTATATATCTGGTCATCTACGTGAACCAATCAAATTTCATCTGCTCACTCCTTATTGGCTAGTTAAAATTTCATTTCCCAAATCTTGTTATTTTTTTGTTAGTTTTTTCGGTACATTATGTTAACCTAATTTCTTTTTTTCATGTGAAATCAAAGAAACATAATTTTCACATCATTGATCAAGATAATCATAATAATAATAATAATATCTGTTATACCATATACATAACTGATAATATACTAATGGCTTATCGACGTTTAAGTATGAGTCCTGGTGAAGCATTACAAACTGAAATACCTGAAGCAAGACGTATGGAAAATTATCGATCTGGAAATTGTTTATTGAGTTATTTTGATCCAAATACAAAAAAGTTTCGTAATTTCACAGCTTCACAATTTGGTGATGTTTGGAATCATTTCGATCAAGATGGTCAGTTTTTTTTATATTATTTTAATAAGGTGATTTGTTTTGAATTAGTTATGAATGTAATAAGATGAATAAATTTGAATAATTATTTAATAGTTTTGCCAGCTATTTCGGAACAAAACTGGTGTGGGGTTACTAAAAATCTCAATACATAAAATAAGCACTGGAGATATGGTCCGAGCTGACAATAAATGCTCCTCAAATCGGTCATTTAATTTTGAGTTTAAGTGGCGACTGACTATTACTGACAAAATTCCTTGATATAGTTACTTATTAAAAGTATCTGTTATTTAAATTCACTTAGTATTGTTTAAATAAAGTTTCCCATTGATGTTTACGACTGCAATTGATCAGTCTCTTATTGACTTATGTGTATCCTGTACGAATTACCTTGATATTGCCTCAAGTCCTACAGGACGTCAGTCACGGCCCGAATATCTGAGTGGCAACGTCTGTAACTATGAAGTTGGGTGACACGAGAGAGCATCAGTTCCCTTAAGATTACAGGCACGTCTTGATGGAGAGTGCTAAGTACCTCAAAACCTAGGTCTAGGGTTTCATGTTGACCACCTCCAACAACCATCTTATCGCATTATAAGCATCCATCTTTGCTTATATCTGTGATTTAGGTTTGTATTGAGTTGATGTAGAGTTAAGCCATGGTAATGAAACATTTTTGAAGCTGTAGAAAATAATTAAATTTGAAGATCGTATGCACTGAACTGTGTACATTATGATTTGATGTAACGATCAGTTGTTGCATAAATTGATGAACTGGCCTATATAAACACATATTAAGTAAAAAGATCAAAAATACCAAATGTAATCTAACCGATTAAGTATTAGTATCTAAAACGTCAACTTCACACAACGAATCTCCTTATATGTTTGTACTGACCTCATAAGTATTAAATAGAAAAAAATGTTTATAAATTTTGATAGTTTCATTGTTCGTTCCTTCTTTTAAACGAAACTTGATAATTTTCAAATGCATAGGATTTTAATGATCACAATGATAATAATGAAACCAATCGACCATAAATGTAACCACTTGAGAAAATTTACACTGATGTCATCTCCGGTTAGGGCGCCCGGGCAGTATCTCAGCCTTCACATAAACTGAATGAATTATGTGGCGTATATGTATTTGGTGCCTCCTTGTACCACATAAAAATAATAAATACGCCGATGTCAGGCCTGTTGTTGATATTAACTAACTGAATAACTGAAGTGAACACAGGATGGTAATTTTAGTTTAAGCCAGAATTTTCCTAATATGTTAAATAAACTAGAGTGGATCAAGCTTTACAACATATTGATTGCTAATGTTAGAAATGACAATTAATTTCATGCTATGAACACTGAGACAATAGTAGAAATGCTACCCAGTAACCAACATAAAACGTAGGACCAGTATACATACTAAAAATGCCGGAAAAAATTCACCACTCATCAATGATTGAAATATGATTCATGATGCGTTCAGAAAAGAGGACTAGACCATAAACTAATGAAAGTTTATAAATAAAACTCTCCATTTAGAGCAAAGAACACCAAAATAATTGATTAGCTTTTAATAATATTTTCATTTCATCCAAAAGTTGAAAATGACTTAAATATTTTTCAATATGAGATTGTAAAGTTTGTTGAATTTTATTAAAATCATGATCCGATCAATGTTAAGTCACTATTGAAAACCTTGAATCACTGGATGGCTGGCTGTCCTAGTATGAGACTCCTTAGATATTGCTTCATATCGTAGATTGGTTGAAGTTAGACATCGACACTATTAAACGACAGCTCAGTGCCTGAAGTGTCCCATACTGAGGCGAAACAATCGTCCATCGATAATCTAACATTGATCAATTCACGATTTCAATGAAACTTGAAAATTTATCATTTACATGTGTTTCATAATGGTGATATAAGGTTTAATTTATTTCATCATTGTTGTTTATGAAATTGGATAGTTTGATTTTTTCACATGTTGAATACCTTTTTATTGTCAAAGTTGAAAATAAATCGACTAAATAATTACCAAGAAGAAATGAGAATATTGATTATATTTCATCTCGATAATTTGGACAGTGAATTACAGATTTGCATTCAGTTAGTGTCATTTTGTAAAACAATAACCTTAATTATTGTAGAATAAAACGTACCCTAAATAACCTAAATACAAGCAGAATCTGAATAGTTGAGATCATGAGTCAATTGAAGCTAGACCATCATGAAAAACCTGGAAGCACTGGACGGCCGTTTCGCCCCAGTATGGGACTCCTAAGCAGTGCGCATCCACAACTTAGCTCCACATCTAGCTTCAACTGACTCATGATCTCAACTATTGAAACTACTACAATCTCCATAAAACCCCCTCTGATACTAATAAACAGAATTGTTTATATAGATAAATAGAATGTTTCATTTTGTAACTATTTGTTCAACATTTATTTCAATGGTGAAATGTAAATTTGACAAAGTCTTCTATATTTATAAAATTTTGATGCACAGGTGAATGTGAATTAAGTGTATATAAGATAAAGAGAGAGAATTTGATATCATCTGTAAATTGTTATGATCACAATAGTCAGAATTAGGAAACCGGTAGTAATTATAGAAAATTCAAAAGTGAAGATTATACACATCAGAATGGGGAGTTTGTAGAGATCATAGTAATTTAATAGTTGAATTTATAACCACAATTGAAAACCTAGAAACATTGGATGGCCGTTTCGTCCTCGTATGGAACTCTTCAGCAGTGTGCATTGAGTTACTCACTAAAGAAAATAGTGGACGGCAGCTCAATATCATGGATTGGTTGAAGTTAGACATTAACACCGTTGGATACCTGCTGACTTAGCGGTCTACAGGTAAAGCGTTCGCGCGTGAGACCGAAGATCCTGAGTCTGAATGCCGCGTTTGGGATCGTGGATACACAATGCTGAGGAGTCTCATACTAGGACGAGTTGACTATCCAATGTTTCCAGGCTTTCCATGGTAGTCTAGCTTACATCAACTCATGAATTCAATGATTATATTATACATATTTTATGTGACATTAACTTTGAATTTGCCAGAAAAGTGATGTTTAGATTTGAAGAGTTAACTGCACAGTCAACTTTCATCATTATATATATATATATATATATATATATATATATATATATATATATCATGTTATGAATGTCATCCATTGAAAGAATTAGTAGTTAAGTTGTTGTAAATACAAGACAATGTTATGAAATGAATCTTGTAATTTATTGAACTAATTATACTACACACAATGTTGTTGTCATTTATAGTTTATCTTCTCATTTATTTACCTTTTAAAATGTTCGTTTTCTCTTCCGAAAAATTATTGATTATCCAGGCGTTTTTTTCTAAATGATCATTCGAAAACGATGTCAAATGCTTATTGTTCACTTATTGTGTACAAGGATAGACAAGTAATTAAAAACAACAAAAACAAATAAATAGTATATAAGAAAAAGAAAGCGCTTTCACATTGAAGAAACATCTATAAGTCATTCATTTTTATGGGAGTATCACCTATATTCTACAGGTCACAAGATACATTTAAGAACTTTATGTTCGGTCAAATTATATATATATATATATATTCGTTTTTATTCTTAAGTATAAAGAATTAGTTAATACTTATGTGAATGGAACTCTGGTAGTTGTGAGTGACATTTTCCCAGTTAGATGTTATAGTCTAAATTCTAGATCAGAAGGGGTTTTGTAAAGAACTTTAGTATTTTCAGTAGTTCAAATCATGAGTCAATTGAAGCTAGATCACCATGGGAGACCTGGAAGCACTGGACAGCCGTTTCTTCCTAGTATGGGACTCCTCAGCAGTCTGCATCCACAGTCTCGCCTCGCGAGATTCGAACCCAGGATACATCAGTCGCGGGTGAGCGTTTAACCACTAGACCACTGACGAGGCCGGCATCCAACGGTGTTAATGTCTAACTTTAACCAATCCACGAAATTGCGCCACCGTCACTGTTGTCTTCAGTGAGCTGATATCTCACAACAGACCTGGTTGAACTCCACTGGTCACGGCTTCTCACTAGAACTTCAGGAGTGTCTCTTGATGTCAGTCACTAGTGAGCGGTTAGACATTAACACCGTTGGATGCCGACTCAGCGGTCTAATGTTTAAGCGCTCGCACGAGACTAATATGTCCTGGGGTCCAATCTCGCGAGGCGAGACCGTGGATGCGCACTGCTGAGGTGTCCCACACTAAGACGAAACGGCGCTCCCAGGTTTTTCATGGTGATCTATCTTCAATCGACCCATGATTTCAACTATTTAAATTCTCAATGCATAAGATAACCATTTTGTTTAGCAACGAGATTTCTGTTTAATTCAGATTAAATATGGCGCAAATAATAAATGTTTAAAATAATATACGACTAATTTCGAGATGTAATTCTCGAATTTCTAATGAGTTGCTGTGACCAGTCGAGGTCAACTATATTAAAGATAAGACACATTTGTTAGTGATATTGAAAAAGCAATATAACGAATTGAATGAAATTATAAATGTCATCTGTTAAATATCGGCTCAGTTGTCGGTTCGTCACGAGACCTACTGGTCCTATGTTTGATCGTGGTGGGATCGTAGATATACACTCAGAGAGAATCCCACACTATTTGGAAACTACTGTTCAATGTTCTCTGATTCCCAATGGTTGCTAACTATAATCAGAGCAAATAGTGAAAACTAGAAAATTCTTGATATTATTTACAAACAACACACATTATTCATTAGTACCTGTATTCGATGATAGAGGTTATTTTATTGAGACTGTTTAACCTAAGAGCATTTTATGTTGACTGCCGATGAGTGATAGTTCAGTAGAAATATCTTAATCCTATTAGAGATCGATGTTACACAGTTGATGTAAAAAGTTTACGGAGAACTACTTTACAGAATAAATGCATGGTTCAGTATTTCAGCATTCCAGTCCTTAAGTCAATTTCAGTAAGTTGAGTTG